ACCAAAAAGTAAAGGGTATCAACATAATGAAGAATTTACATCAACGAATGGACAAAACAGCCAGTTAACATCAAATGGCAGTAACCCTAAATTTAAATCGACGAAATCCCCCAATCAAAAGATACAGCCAAAACCCAATGGCATGCTACATTCCAGATCCGTTTCACATGTAAGGATACACAAAGACTCAAAACAAAGGGATGGAGAAAGATTTACCAACCAAATGGAGAGCAAAAATAAATAAATAAATAAAAAGCAGGAGTTGCAATTCTCGCATCTGATAAAATAGATTTTAAAGCAACAAAGATATAGTGGTAAAAGGATCAATGCAATAATAAGAGCTAACAATCCTAACACCCAGATACATAAGACCTATGAAGAGAGTTAGACTCCCTAGACCCCCACACAATAATAGTGGGAGACTTCAACATCAATATTAGATAGATCAATGAGACAGAAAATTAGTAAGGATATCCAGGACTTGAACTCAGATACGGAACAAGTAAACTTAATAAACATTTATAAAGCTCTCCACTTTAAATACACAAAATACACATTCTTGTCAATACCACATCACACCTACTCATAGGTTTAAATGAAATATTGATCGGCCATTATTAAGCACAATTATTGGCATAAAAGAGGTTTTCAATATCCATTTTTAGAATAAAGCAACATTCCCATTCTCTCTCCCTCTTTTTCTTCCTCTTTCTTCCTCTCCTTTACTCCTTTTTTTCTTTCTTTCCTTCTCTCCTTTCTTTAAAAAAAAAGGAAATTTGCAAATGAATTGTAAAAAATATATATTCTCAATATAATCCCTTGAGGCAGAGCAGAATCTCTGCTCTTTGGGAAAAACAAACTTGGGAGTATATGGTGTAGTACTATAGCATGTGGAATAGCATAGTTGTAAGAGACACAAAGTTCATCCCATTGCCAGGGGATTTCCCAGTTGTGTGGTTTACCCAGAGGATCAGATGCTTTCTGAGCTCAGCATTGATCATCTTGCATTTATTAGTCTCTGCAGTGTCATTACTATGATTCATTATACTGTCTGCAACTGTCTTGACTAACCTTGAAGATGGGTTCAAAATGCCTCTTGTCCTGTGAATATTTCTCCAGTAAATAAATAAATAAATAAATGAACAGCTCAGTAATTGAAGCCCCATACTTTCAGAGTAAAAAAAAGAAAAAGTCAAAAAAATAACAGATGCTGGCAAGGCTGTGGAGAAGAGGGAATGCTTATACACTGTTAATGGGAATGTAAATTAGCCACTACGGAAAGCAGTGTGGAGATTTCTCAAGAATTTAAAATAGAACTATCGTTTGACCCAGCAATTTCTTTACTGGGTCTTTAGCCAGAAGAAAACAAATCATTCTACCAAAAAGACACATGCACTTGCATATTTGTCACAGTACAATTCACAATAGCAGAGACATGGAATCAACCTATGTTCCCATCAGTGGTGGAATGGACACAGAAAATACAGTATACATACACATGGACTACTACTCAGCCAAAGTGGAATGAAATCTTATTTTTCACAGTAACATGGATGCTGCTGGAGGCCATTAGCCTAAGCAAAGTAACCAAGGAACAGAAAAACAAATACCACATGTTCTGACTTACAAGGGGAGTTAAACCTCAGGTACTCATTGACATATGATGGCAACAATAGCCACTGGAGACAACTAGAGTGGGGGGAGAGGGAGGGAGACAAGGGTTGAAAAACGATTGGGTACTACACTCAGTACCTGGGTGACAAGATCAGTCATAACTCACACCTCATACCTCAGCATCACACAATATACCCACATAACGAACTGACACATCACACAATATGCCCCTGAATCTAAAGGAAAACTTGAAATAATGAAAAAAAAAGTGTTCATAATGTTATTGTTAAACGATAGTGTGAAATAAAGCTGTAGAGTTTATTACACCAAATCTGTTTCCACCACCACTAGAAATCTGTCTAAATCAATTTGGAGGCTTTTTTTTTTTTTTTAAGGATGCCTCTCTAAGACCTCATTTGGTGTTGCATGGGCTGAGGGTTCTCAGTAGGGCTGTTGTTGTTATACACAGTGCTGACAGATGTGCCTCCTGTCAGTTCAACAAGAGCTGACTCCCCTTAACAGAGATAAGTGCTTGATTAGAGGGCACGCTATTTCTTCCTTCCAGGTGTTTTAAATTTATTTCATGCTATTAATGGAACTCACCACTGAATAATGTTATTTCATGTGTATTCTTTGGTGACTACGCAGAGAATTGACCATTTGCCATAACAAATATGTTTGTCTTTGTTCTTTTTTTTTTTTTTTTTTGAGACGGAGTTTCGCTCTTGTTACCCAGGCTGGAGTGCAATGGCGTGATCTCGGCTCACCGCAACCTCCGCCTCCTGGGATCAGGCAATTCTCCTGCCTCAGCCTCCTGAGTAGCTGGGATTACAGGCACGCGTCACCACGCCCAGTTAATTTTTTGTATTTTTAGTAGAGACAGGGTTTCACCATGTTGACCAGGATGGTCTCAATCTCTTGACCTCGTGATCCATCCGCCTCGGCCTCCCAAAGTGCTGGGATTACAGGCATGAGCCACCGTGCCCGGCCCTTTGTCTTTGTTCTAAACTTAAAGTTTAGAATTTAGAAATTACCAATGTAACGTGACCTTTTACAACATATTTACTTATTTATTTAACAAATACAAGACACTAAGTGCTAGGCACTGTTTGTTCCTAGCACTTGACAATATCGGCTTATGTAATCCTTACAACAACTCTGATATGAACTATTATTATGGCCCGAGGACATACAGCCAGTAAGTGGCAGAGGTTTAAATGAGCATTGTCTAGTTTCAGAATAAGTGGGATCAAAAAATAGGATGTGATTTGCCACCAGTGTCAAACTGCAGAGCTGTTTGTGCTCTCACAACTCTGGGGCATGAATAACTAAAGCATGGCCCATATTTTCTTTTTTCTTTTTTTTTTTTTTTTTTTGCCAATCAGTTTGAGCTTATGAGGTTGCTCAGGTTAGCCTTGAACTGATGACCTCGCCTTCGCAAGCGCTATGACCTCCGGCGGGAGCCACTTTGGACCCCGACCCATATTTTCTCTGCCTGAAAATGAAGTTTGGTTATGGGGTGTGGATAAAAGTATTAGAGTGAATAAACACTAAGGTTTACTGAGTGATGCACAGACTATCTTTTTGGATCTTTATAAAGGGGAGAGACAAATATCTTTGGAATTACCTTGGGTCAGAAATTTTTGCAGTAAAGAAATGAGTCTTGTTAACGTGATGATTTAAATCTTCCAAAGAAGCTCCCATTGAATAAAATGTGATTATCATGAAACGCCACAGCAGCATGAAAATAAATTATGAGATAATATGTCTAGAAAAGAGCAGAATATACAACTTTTTACCTAGTTACCTCTGGTTACCACTTTGAAAAACAAAATCCCCTGTCCATGAACAAAAGAATGTGAAACAAAAAAGTCGAAGGTCTTTAGCGATGAGATTGTGCCTGATTTCTCCCTCCTCTGTTTTCCTAATTGTGACTACAGGTTCAGTTAATTTACATTCCGTTTAAAGTTTTGAAATTATGCTTGAAATTCCACTTGGGGAGCTTTAGATGTTGGGACCCAAGGCACATTCTTTCAAATAAAGAAAATGATCCTGAAGTGATTCAAAATCCTTTCTGGTGACTAACAGGAGGAGTAAAGCTGGAAAATAATGGAATTGTTTCCCCCAGGTAGTTCCTAAACTGCCCCTGGCAACACTTCCTGAAGAAGCTCCTCCATCACGCTTTTTAGCAGTGCCGCCCACAGCAGAAGACTGAGCAATCTCTCAATGTGTCTCTCCTGAACAGTGTACTGTGTATTTGGGCAATGTTGGTTGAAAAACCCTTTCTTGTCACTTGCTAGTCATAGAGCCTACATCAAGGTATATATATATGTATATATTATTATTATTATTATTATTTTTGAGATGGAGTCTCACTCTGTAGCTCAAGCTGGAGTGCAGTGATGTGATCTCTGCCCACTGCAGCCTCCACCTCCAGGTCTCAAGTGATTCTCGTGTCTCAGCCTCTTGCATAGCTGGGACTACAGGCACCCATCACCATGCCCAACTAATTTTTTGCATTTTATTAGAATCAGGGTTTCACCATGTTGCCCAGGTGGTCTCAAACTCCTGAGCTCAGGCAGTCTGCCTGCCTCGGTCTCCCAAAATCTTGGGATTACAGGCATGAGCCACTGTGCCTGGCCATAAGGTATATTAAGAAAAAATTCCCATTAGAGAATTCTTCATTACATGCACAAGAAAGGCAAGGATAAAAAATGACATGTTTCAGAGATAAAAATCAGCATCTTATGACCAGAAGGACCAGAGGTGCACAGAACCTGAACTAGAGAAAACATGCAAGGCAGTCTTGGGGGTTTTATTCCAGTATTTAGTGGTTTGCAAAAATAAACTTTTGTCTGCTCTGTACAACTATATGAGCTGCTATCCCATTCAAGGCATAGGTATCCTACTACATCAAGTGATAATCAAACATTCCCAAGCAGACTACATTAGACGGCTTGTCTAACACTTGTATGATTCACTTTTCACATGTAGGTGCTTCCAAGGACTTACTGAGTTCACTGCTGGGGTCAGGATAGGTTCTAGTCAGTATGTACTCCTCTATATTTTTAATTTCTTTTTAAAACTGAAGTGTTTTTAGACCATTTTGTCTAGATTCAGTCCAGTGCTATCTACTCAAAGTAAGCATCAAGAGCTGCTATCACATCAAATGATGATGAGTTCTTAGATTTTCACACAGTGTGACTACATCCATACTTGGAGATGTGACAAGAGCTCTTTAATGAGCTAATGAGAGTGTCACAAGCAACCATTAGTCAAAACAAAATTCTACTTAATTGGCCAAAAGGTAAACAAAAGGGGTCACCTGCACCAGGCCAGGGTATATAAAGAGCCCAGAGAGGGAGGAGGACATTCACACCTGAGAACAACCAGCTCCTCTCAACAGCCCTCCCCACACCAGTCTCAGACACCACCATGTACGGCTCCTGCTGCGGATCCACCTTCTCCTCCCTGAGCTGCGGGGGAGGCTGCTGCCAGCCCTGCTGCTGCCGCGACCCCTGCTGCTGCCGCCCCGTGACCTGCCAGACCACCGTGTGCCGCCCCGTGACCTGCGTGCCCCGCTGCACGCGCCCCATCTGCGAGCCCTGCCGCCGCCCAGTGTGCTGCGACCCCTGCTGCCTGCAGGAAGGCTGCTGCCGCCCCATCACCTGCTGCCCCACGTCGTGCACCTCTGTGGTCTGCAGGCCCTGCTGCTGGACCACCACCTGCTGCCAGCCTGTGTCAGTGCAGTCCCCCTGCTGCCGGCCCCCCTGCGGCCAGCCGGCCCCTTGCAGCACCACCTGCAGGACCTCCCCCTGCTGCTGAGCAGTACACTGACTGCCTGGAGCACGCAAGTCACCTTCTGAAAAAGCCACACTCCCATTTCTCTGCCTAACAAACCTCCTGCCCTGAGCCTGCAAGATCCCACATCAACCAAGCTGGGACCGAGAACCGGGCTCATCTATTAAAACCTGGGCCATTCTGCAGCCTTTGTAAAAGCAATTTCCTTCCTCCCATCTAAGATTTTGTGGCATGTTTCCTTTCTAATAAATATCTGTTCTTTGACCTTGCAAAAAGCTTTGGTTTTATTTACTCATTCTAATATTTTGTATTAAATGTATTTTTTATTTAAAAAATGGACACATAATTGTACATATTTACGGGGTGCAGCGTGATGTTTCATACATGTATACATTTTGTAATAATCAAATCAGGGTGTTTAGGATATTTATCACCTCATACATTCATCGTTTCTTAATGGTAAGAATATTTAAAATCTTCTCTGAGAGCTATTTTGAAATATATGATACAATATTGCTAACCATAGTTGCCCCACTGTACACTAGAGTACCGAAATGTATCCCTCCTATCTACCTGTAACTTTGTACCTGTTGACCAGTCTTTCCCTACTATCTCCTTCTCTCACCCTCCCCAGCCTCTGGTAACAACTATTCTACTCTCTACTTCTATGGGATCAACTTGTTTAGATTTCACATAGATGTGAGAGCGTGTGCTATTTGTCTTTCTGTGCCTGGTTAACTTCACTTAACATACGGTCCTCCAGGTTCATCCATGTTGCTGCACAAGACAGTATTTCATTCTTTTTTTATGACTGATAGTATTTCATTGTGCATGTATGTGTGTATGTGAGTGTGTGTCACATTTTCTTTATCCATTCATCCATTGATGGACACTTAGATTGTTTTGGTATGTTGGCTGTTGTCAATCGTGCCGCAGGAAACATGGAAATGTAGATAGCCCTTCAACATACTGATTTCATTTGCTTTGGATATATACTCAATAGTGGGATTGCTGGATCATATAGTAGTTCTATGTTTAAATTTGGGGGGACCCTCCATACTGTTTTCCATAATGGCTATGCTACTTTACATTCCCTACAGTCCTGTATGAGTTCCTTTTTTTCCACATCCACATGAGCATTTGTTATTTTTTCATATTTTGATAATAGCCATTCTAATTGGGGTGATATGCTATCTCATTGTGGTTTTAATTTGCATTTCCTGATGATTGGTAATGTTGAGCACTTCTTTGTATATGTGTTGGCCATTTCTATGCTTTCTTTTGAGAAATATTTATTCAGGTCTTTTACCTACTTTTAATTGAAATTATTATTGATTATTCACTGTTGAGTTGTTCAGGTTTCTCATGTATTCTGGATATTAACACCAGTCAGATGTAAAGTTTGAAAATAATTTTTCCTGTTCTCTAGGTTGTCTCTTCCCTCTGTTGATTTGATTGTTTCCTTTGCTGTGCAGAAGGCTTTTAGTTTTATATAATCCCATTTGTCTATTTTCACTTTTGTTGCCTGTGCCTTTGAGGTCTTATTCCCATCAGAAAAAGCCATTGCCCAGACCAGTGCCATAAGATGTTTCATGTATGCTTTCTTCTAGTAGTTTTATCATTTGCAGTCTTATACTTAAGTATTTAATCCATTTTGGGTTGTCTTTAATCCGTTGATAAATAGGGTCTAAATGTGCTGCTTGCTGACCATATGCAAGTCACAGGCTACATGGTATAAAATAGAAATTAAAATTGAATTAAAAACGTTCCCCTCCCCAAAAAACTTCTAGGGACATGAGTCAAATTCACCTATAACTCATCTAAAAAGTAGAATATGAAAAAATAAAAGCACAACGTACTATGTGGTATCAACACAGAAATCACTACTGGTTGGGGAAAACAAGAAAGATTTTAAAAAGAAGCTAACATTTTATATGGGTTAACATTGTGGTGCCCAGATCAGAGGGATGGCATTCTCAGTAATAGAAATAGTATGAGCAAATGTATGGAGGGAGGGGACCATAGGGTTGTTCAGAGTACAGTTTGGCTGGGGGCACTGGATATATAGAGAGTGACCATGAAAGAAAGATTTGGAAAATTTGCATGCTTTGAATACCAGCCAAGCGAGTACACCATTGATGCAATAGCACTAAGGAGCTGTTGAAAGTTTTGGGGAAGGAGAACGGCATAACAAGTACTGGCCATTGGGACAATTCTCATGATAGCTCCTTATAAAGACAGAGGTCAAAGGCCAGAAAAATAAGTCCTACAGAACTATGCAGAAACTAATCAGGGAGACATTGCCTTGATCCAAGTGATGTACAATAAGAGCTCAACTCAGATGTTACCATTGGAATAATGAAGACACAATAGTATGGCAGACGTAGAAACCCAGAAAGTCTATTAACTTAGTTGATTGTGGGAAACGAAAAACAATTAGGAAGCAAACGTGACTTATTGCAATTATAAGTTGCTGGTCCAGACACTTAAAAGAACTTTAACATATTTATACTTATTTATTGTGTATTTAAAAATCACTATTTCATAGTGTAATCTGTTTACCATATAATATTTCTATTCTTGAGCTTTTAGAAAAAAAGACAAAGACAAAGAGCTTTACTAACATTAATTGATTCTGGAAAGCAGCATGGTATAAAATAAAAAGAACTGGTTTAGAAATGAGTGATAGGAGTTTTATACCTAGCTCTTCTGATTGTGTGCCATGTGAAAGGAACAAGTCACTTAACCTCTTCAAATTGTAGCCATCCCTAGACTCAAGAGTATTCTAACATCAACCAATGTTAAGTGAAAACGAAAAGCGCTCCATACCACACAAGCAACGTTTCCATTTAGAACTTTGAGAGGAAATGGTTCTATACAAAACTCTTTTCCTTAATTAATCCCTCCTATTGCTACTACAATGATTTTTACACTAGAGCAAGATATGAGACAAACAGATAGGGCCTTGCTTTCTGTATAAGCCTTTAGTGCTCTGGGCGTAGTAGAAGTTAATAAATACGTGCTATTTATACTAAGAATGATGTCAGTTTCTACACCTATAAAATTAAGTGGTGGAACAAGATAGTTTACTATGTTTTTGATCTCCAATATTCAGTGATTACATATAACCATTTTCAACTTCACACCTACAGTCACGGTTACCACATGACATGAACATCTTTACTGAAGCTGGCATGAATCACATTTTAATATAACCCCAGTCCTGTACATACGAATACCACCACCTCATAAAAAGCTAACTATGTGTTTCTGTTCATGATTGGAAGGGAGAAATAAACCTACCCCAAGTAGAAATAATATGTTTTTTGACCAGCGTTTTTTCATTTATCTCATGGAACCCTAAACTCCCAGTGGAAAATCACATTGTTTCTTCTGCCAATGACCAAGAATTGTTTTAACTTTTATTTTGCTGAAATTTATCTTAATTTCTTTGCATTTATTATACTACACCTCTTGAAGTATATTTGGTCACCCATTTTCTAAACTGTCTTATAAAGCAGATAAAAGTATTTTCTAACTCTTGCTTTTTCTTTGATTGATTCCCCTTCTTAAATCCAGTTGTCATGCTCTTTGGTCTAATACCTTTTCACAGGACACATGGTTTAGTAACATAAAATGACACAAATTAAAAGTAAATTCTGCCTTTGAGAAAGTATATGCCAGATAATTCATATACCAGTGATTTTTGTCTTTCATAAAGAAGTGTAAATTTTATTAAAATATTTTGCAATGTTTCTCCAATTATTGAATATGAATTTTAGCCTCTCTTTGAAGAAACACTGGCATGAAACAGGTTTTGTTTCATATATCCTCCTGAGTGATCAATGTTTCCTCAAATACGAATGTGAAGTTTAGGAGATATCACAGAAATTGGAAAGATTCCATTTCAGGAGAAATCTATAAATTTCTATGAATGTAGAGTTTATCAGAGTTTCTATCTACATAATAAGATTATATAGGCAGAGTATAATCTTATCAGTCTAAAAAATATAGAGACAGTCTTACATGAAGGACGATCATGATTAACAATTCTTTTCTGGAGACAGGTTTGGTGAATATGAGCCCCAGAATCACATCATCTTATGGGTGAGAGTCACCTTGTCAGGTGATATACCCACAAGTGCAAAACTGAAGCTGAAGCTCAAGTGGAAATTATACCACTGTTTGGAAACAAAATGTTAACATTTTTACCAAGGACAAACACATTTGGTGAGCATTAGCTGAGCAATAAGGAAAAATCAATTCAAAGATGTATTTAAAACAATTCAGCATTTGAACAGTCAGAGGGCCCTAGAAAGGCTGGTTTAAAGAGTAACAAGATAAAAATGCCGCTGGCCACAAACAGAGGAATTGGCCAAGGCTTATAAAAAGCCCAAGGTGAAATAGGCAGCCATAACCCAGAAACTCCTTCAAGCAACCCAACCTTCAGACCAACTCCCAACACCATGGCCTGCTGTCAGAACACCTGCTGCGGATTTCCCAGCTGCACCACCAGTGGGACCTGTGGCTCCAGCTGCTGCCAGCCAAGCTGCTGCCAGACCAGCTTCTGTGGATTTCCCAGCTGCTCCACTGGTGGGACCTGTGGCTCCAGCTGCTGCCAGCCAAGCTGCTGCCAGACCAGCTCCTGCGGAACCAGCTGTGGCATTGGTGGTAGCATCGGCTGTGGCCAGGAGGGCGGCTGTGGAGCTGTGAGCACCCGTATCAGGTGGTGCCGCCCAGACTGCCGTGCAGAGGACACCTGCCTGCCCGCCTGCTGTGTGGCAAGCTGCACACCCCCATCCTGCTGCCAGCTGCACCATGCCCAGGCCTCCTGCTGCCGCCCATCCTACTGTGGACAGTCCTGCTGCCGCCCAGTCTGTTGCTACTCGTGCTGTGAGCCCACCTGTTGAAAACCTCCTTCTGATGGGAATCCTGTTAAGATGGCACTTCAAAACTAACCAAATTAGAATTCTAACAAACTCCTGAACTCCAGTCCTATAACTGGGTTTGCAACCTGTCATTATGCAGCCATATAAATTCCCTAGTATGTAAATGCATTTACAAGGGAAGACCGAAAGTCTTTCCTAAACCTGGACGTCAGTCAAAGTCCTATAATGTGAAAAGAGTTGAATAACATTTTACTATAAATATCACCTGAAATATTTCAATATTTCAATGGTTGTTGTGACTTAGATTTAATAAAATTTTTAATCTTTTCAATGATGAAGTTGTTAGAACTTTCTTGGCTTTGGAATTTGTTAAAGATATTGGGGCA